AGATGGATAATACAGAAATACATCTAACAAAAACACAAAGTAGACGTGGACGGGTACTTTAAATCCCAAAAACAAAACGACACTTAGTACAGATCTGAGAGTTTTAGCAGTTACTGACAGCTAGTTCAAAGCCAATAACAACTAATGAAAAAAATCATGTATCTAAGACTAAAATATCAATCAGTACACATCCAACATCCAATGGATTTAGTGTAAAGACGTCATTAACAGTCAGTGAAAAACATTACCTTGTGAAATGCCAAACTATAAGTATCGACAGATTGTAGTACCGTAAAAGTACATATGTGTAATATTTAGTATGGTTTTAATTTACTGATAACAAAATCAATATTTACACCAATAAAAACAATATTCAAAGTTTTAATTACAGAGTTGAATAGGTAACCTTTTTGAATAAGTTTATTTAAAGGATTGATAAGTTTACCCTAGTTATTTTTGTAAACATCAGCTTTTTACCTAATGGAACAGATTGCCCGGCTATAAAAACTACAGTCTCTGAAATTATGTTTAAAGTACAATTTAAGAACAAAGGGCTAGTGCGAGCTTTTCCCATCAATTGGCGTCAGTCGTCAGTCGTCCGTTGTGGTCGTCCGTTAGATTTTACAAAAATCTTCTCCTCTGAAACTATTGGGCTAAATTTAATCAGACTTGGCCACAATCACCATTGGGTAAAGAGTTTTGAAATTGTGTGCAATGACCACCCCCTTTTTCCAACCAACATGGCCGACAAATTATTTTAGAAGCCTGTTTTTATAATTAGATTTCTTTGTAATATCCCCTTGGTTATATAAAAATCAATGTTATGGTGACTGTAATTTGTTAGCTCTCTACACCTTGTTAGATTATTGCTCTTTAAAAAAAAACCACTTTAAAACAACATGGATATACAGATTGATTTTTTATAATAAATTTTTTCAGAAATTGCAAATTTTGACATTTTTCAACAGAATCATAGAAAAAAATCACAATCAGTTTTTTTGGTCTAAACATTCACTTATTATACTTTGGTATGCTTTGTTTTATATTTTACTTTATGAAAAGAAAAGAAAAATCGAAACACTTATAATGTATCAAGAGCAGAATGCTTAATTTGAAGAAAAAATAGATACTTTTTAAAGATTTTAGAAAATGCATTTTTTACTGAATTATCTCCCTTTGTACAATAGAAAATCAATATTTATGGCTTCATTTATTGTAATTGTATTATCTTCATTGTTAGTTTAACTTACATTGTTAAGTATAATAATGGTTTTTACGGAAGCGTATTACGGCCATCCTTTTTTTTTTTTTTTTCAAATTGTCGACATTAATCTTGGAATTATCAACTTTAATCTTGGAATTATCAGCTTTAATCTTGGAATTATCAACTTTTATCTTGAGATTATCAACTTTAATCTTGGAATTATCATCTTTGATCTTGGATTTATCAGCATTAATCTTGGAATTATCAACATTTATCTTGGAATTTCCAACTTAAATCTTGGAATTATCAACTTTGATCTTGGAATTTCAAACTTAAATCTTGGAATTATCAACTTTAAACTTGGAAATTCCAACTTTAATCTTGGAATTATCAACTTTAATCTTAAAAATGACTGATATTTTACTTCTAGTCCATAGTTAATTGTGTTTCTCCGTATACTTAATCTAATTATAATTATTTTCTCGGCTACATTTTTTGTAAAATGTTACAGAAAAATAGACGTGTATCTAAAGTCTTGTAGTTCCACGTAGCCTAATATCCATGAAAAGGGGGGGGGGGGGGGCTGTAACTTCCCAATAATGGGTATACGTGGATATGCCAAAAATATTGGCCATAATTATGCGAGATTTTATATTTATGACGCTACTTTTTAATGACATTCTATATTGATATGCATAGTTCTTTCATAATTTTATATCGATTTGGGGTATGTTCTACATATCTTTTATAAATATGCAATGGAAATCTTATATTGATGGCCAATTGTGGTATTTGAATCAATCAGGGACTTTATATTTACATTAAAATATTGTACACAAGTAAAGGTCATTCTTTGTATATATTTTATTACATATGTGACTAGCCATGACATATCCAGGCTATGGAGGTTGAACGTCATTGTGAGAAAAACGTGGTTAACTATATGTGACTAGCCACTTCCAGGCTAAAGAGGGTACATTGTCTAAAATTTGCTTTTTGTATATTTATCTAGAATATTCGAAACAAAACCCTCTGTCATGTTATTATGACATATTTGTTGTAACAGCAATGAAACGAGTCATTTCGAATACCGGTATGAAAATGAGACTGTTCTATGACGACTTTTATTTATTTAAGGCACTAATTTATCAAATACAAAATCATTGTATTTATTGGCGCTTAGTAATAGCGTATTTGAATAAAATTGAAAGAATTAAATTTACTACAATACAAACAGTTCTTAACTCTATTTTAGAACATGTAATGGAAATAGTATGCGACGATTAACATGCATGCAGTTTATAAGTAGGTGTTCTCATATATGATTTCATACGGTGCATTTATTATGGATATATTTCAGACTCCATATATGAAAGAAAATCTATAGAGCAGAGAATTTTGATTTTTTTGTAGCTCTATTTTAGAACATGTAATTTAAAATTGTTGAAATGAAGTTAGTTTAAAATTTGTCAAAGTAAGCCTTAAGAAGTCCTTTTTTTAAATTGTCTTTTAATTTAGATTTATCATGCATGTCTCTATACATAAAATTGAGAATGGAAATAGTATGCGACGATTAACATGCATGCAGTTTATAAGTAGGTGTTCTCATATATGATTTCATACGGTGCATTTATTATGGATATATTTCAGACTCCATATATGAAAGAAAATCTATAGAGCAGAGAATTTTGATTTTTTTGTAGCTCTATTTTAGAACATGTAATTTAAAATTGTTGAAATGAAGTTAGTTTAAAATTTGTCAAAGTAAGCTTTAAGAATTCCTTTCTTTAAATTTGTCTTTTAATTTAGATTTATTATATAAAATAGATGATGTGGTATGATTGCCAATGAGACAATTCTCCACAAGAGACCAAATGACACAGAAATTAACAACTATAGGTCACCGTGCGGCCTTCAACAATGAGCGAAGCCCATACCGCACAGTCAGCTATCTCTATACATAGTATGCGACGCGTAACAGATTATAAGTAGGTGTTCTCGTATATGCATTTGATACGGTGCATTTATTATGGATAAATTTCAGACTCCATTTATGAAAGAAAATCTATAGAGCAGAGATTTTTTTTTTTTAGTATCAATTTAAAATGTAGATTCAAATATTTTTTCACTTCAAACGATAAAGTAAAACTTCTTCAAAACTTATATATGATGTATAGTTCGGCGTCCGCAAAAAAGAAGATAGGGAAAGTATTTATCTCTTCTTCACAAATACGTATTCCATTGAATCTCGATATTTATCATGTTTATAATTTTTCTAACAATGACGTTCTACCTCCATAAGCCTGGAAATGTCATGGCGGGTCACAATTTTTATACATAAATAAAGGTACCAAATATTAGTTAATATTATATAAAAATGGGTACATTGTTTTAGACAAACATAGCACACCACTACCAAAAAAATTCAACTTTAATCTTGGAATTTCCAACTTTAATCTTGGAATTATCAACATTAAAGTTGGAATTTCCAAGTTTAATGTTGACAATTCCAAGATTAAAGTTGGAAATTCCAAGATTAAAGTTGATAATTCCAAGATTAAAGTTGATAATTCCAAGATTAAAGCTGGAAATTCCAAGATTAAAGTTGATAATTCCAAGGTTAAAGTTGGAAATTCCAAGATTAAAGTTGATAATTCCAAGATTAAAGTTGATAATTCCAAGATTAAAGCTGGAAATTCCAAGATTAAAGTTGATAATTCCAAGATTAAAGTCGACAATTTGAAAAAAATAAATAAAAAAGAATGGCCCTAATACGCTTCCGTAGGTTTTAAAAAAGTAAAATTTATATATTTCCAAAATTATCTACAGATTGATATTTAAAATTCATTGATTCTCAATTTCTGTAAGAGAAATTGTAAATTTGGACATTATTAAAGGAGAATTCTAAAAAGTACTAAAACAAGAGTCAACCAATTAACTCTGTCACTTTAAATAACCAAATAGAGATATGTTTATATTTTAATGGACAGAGAGCTGGTAAGTTAAAAAAAAATGTGATTTTAAGATTTTTAAAAATGCATTTTTACTGGATTATCTCCCTTTGTACCACAGAAATTCAATATAAATATGGCATCATAAATTGTAATTGAACTATGGTGATCGTTACTTTGACTTATTTTGTTAAATGTTATAGTGCTTTTGAAAAAGAAACACTTACATTTCCAAAATTATCTACAGAAAACCTTTCTTAAATTCATTGATTTATTGAGAGAAAATGTAAATTTAGGCATTTTTAGAGTAGAATTTTAGAATATACTACAATGAGACCCCAGCAAGTTTACTAGCTAAAATGCATAATTAAGTATTCCAATTGATAAAACATAGGGAGTTATCTTTATATTTTTAATGGACCAAAGGCTAGATAATTTTAAAAATACGTACTTTTTATGATTTTCTTAAAATATTTTTTTTACTGGATTATCTCCCTGGGAATAATCCACGAACTGATTCTCGTAAATTCAAGTACTGATGAGTTAATAAAGCTTCAACACTTTATTATTCAATTAATCATTATTCTTTATCTCGTTGTTTTCTGCATTCATAAGTTTCAGGGTGTTGAAATTGGTCATTTTCATAGAAAAATACTGCCTCCAACATGGGGAAACTGGTTCCCGGTACATTACAGCATCTCCTAACTGAAAGGCATGAGAACCAGCTGAAATATTTGTTTTATGGACTTTTTTCATAATGTTGTGCACACAAAGTTTCAATTAAATCTGATGACCCCCTTGTGGACTGTTTTGCATGGTTTTATGGTAGACTGGGTGTTAAGTTATCACATTTTAATTGTATATATAACTTTCTGATCACCGACATCCACATCCTCTATTTTCTTTTCTCGTTTTTCTCTAAATATGAAAACGCTGAAAAGAAGATAAACATCGTACATTGTAAATAAAAAAATGTATATCCAAGAGAAAAGTTCTCACAAAAAATTATAAAACATCTACACATAAGTAAATCCCAATATCAGCAAAGATTTAATAAAATGTCAAATATTCTGTTTAAAAGTCTATCCTTATACAAACAAAACAAATCACATCTAAATATAATTGCAAATTTTGCACTTGAACAGATGATCATCTTGTGCTTCTGTTATCTTAGAGTTGTGTAATATTATTTTATATAGATTCACCATTTTAGCATATCTTGAAAAAGTACATGGTATTGATACTGACCAAACGATAATAGTCGAAATGTGTAAATCGAAATTAAAACAATTCAAAAAATTGAACGAACATTTAAACATATACCTTATTAAACAAAGGGCGATGAAATGGTAGACTCCAAATATAGCCATAGCTATTCCTCTGTAGATAGCTACTGTTTCTCCATATATAAAGTTAGCCAACACCGAACCCAATAAAGAAGACGTAGACTCAATGGCGGTTAAACCTCCAAACATTGCACCTGTAAACAAAGTACATATATTCAAGAGGTAACATTGCACATTAGAGTGAGACTACTACGAATGATAAAAGCATAAATGTTTTCTTAATTCTAATTGCTGTAGATAACATAACTTCAATGTAACTTTTAAAACAAAATATGTAAAAAAATCTTGTTTACCTGGAAGAAATGAATGATAGGATTTCCCTGCGCACAAAACGTGTTTTTTCAATTTCATACTTTATTTTGCCTTTTCACTTTTTGATTCGAACGTCACTGATGAGTCTTTTGTAGAGGAAACGCCAGTCTGGCATACAAAATTATATGACTGGTTTCTTTTATGAGTTTTTTTTTCTAGAGTAATAGTCGTCAGGTATCGAGACCAAAAGCTTCGAAATCCAAATCATATTAACGTTGAACAGGGAAAGAGATTAAGATTGTAGGTATACTCTTAACAGATCTATGGATTGTTTGAAGTATCCACATCTGAAATTTAACATTACTCATAGAGTAGGCAGTTCCACGGTAACTCTGAAGTCCGGTTTTGAATGCTGATAAGATAGATGTTAATAATTTGAGAGAGGTTTCGTTGGGCATTTGGTAGACCCTAATTTTAAACGTGTCAGCTCATATAGTTACAGCCCGTTGGAAAACATGCCAACCAACATGAACACGTTAATTTTTTCTCAGACAAGCCGAGCATTTGTTACTTTCACTCCTTTATGCCACATGCTTAACTGAGAACTACCACGTCTTTGGTTTGGCCCTGTCTGGTCATCTCGAGGCCATCACGCCATCATAAGCACTGAGGTACCCGTTGTTTTGAAGTTGATTAAACTAACTATGCTACATAGTATATTGAATTTAACCAATGTTAATTCCTATTGTGAACTCGTTGAAACTGTATATTACACATTTGGGGTACAAGACTATTTTCTCGTCCAACTGACAGGGTGCCGTTTATAAAGTGTTTGGTATGGATGAGTCCTTTAAAATATACTCGATTTTATTTTTTTCATTCAAAATGAAAGATGATAGAGCCAGAGGAAAATGAATAACTTGGGGTATTATCCTGTTGTGTAGGCGTGGGTGCATATATCTCAAAAAGACAGTTTTACTTGTTGGGAAAGGGGAAGTATCAGCTTAATTGCCGTTGCTTTTTACGAGATTTAAAAAATCTTACTGCGAACTTAGCAAATCTTTCTCGAATATACAGTATGCAATACGCGTGAAGTACCAAAAACAACCAAGACTGCATCGCCCGCAGATATAGAGTGAGAATATCATTAATATTATTGGTATTATATGACATACTTAGCGTAATGATCTTTAAAATTATATACATGCCATACCTTGTTCAATTCTGGCTGTTATTGCTGATTCGGGCTATCGAAAGTGAATCTCAAGAGAGCCATATAAACCTATCATAGGTTTGGTGTAATATTCTTTAGAATTAAATATATCATACCTTGTTCATCTCTGGCTGTTATTGCTGACAGTAAAGATCGTATCATAGACTATGTGTAATTTTCTTTAGAATTATATATATCATACCTTGTTCATCTCTGGCTGTTATTGCTGACAGCAAAGATCGTATCATAGGCTTAGGGTAATGTGACATAATTCCAACAACAGGAGCTTAGAATATAAAAGGATAGCTGTTTATAACACATTTGAATTGAATGAGTATATTATGGAATTGTTGAAATGTCTATGATATTTATTTTCTATAAACTTTTGATTAGTTTATGCCATACGTTTAGGCTATTTAAAACAATTGTCTTTACAGACTTTTCCATGAAAATGAAAACTACATAGTTATCGTTTGTTTCGGTTATGTGGACTACGTCTTATTCGACCTATTGACATCACATTGTGCACCTAAGTTACTCGATTTTAGGAACAGAAGTATACTTTCTATATAATGTTTACTCCGATTACTAAACCACTTATCTATACTTAAATATCCTTGGTTATAACAGGGACACATAGTCATGTTTGGTACAATTAAATTGGCTAAACAGTGTTCAGAGAAATTTCATAGGTTTCTATGGAAATAATCGAACAAAAAAAAGTCAAGTGATATAAATAGAGATTAAAAAAGTTAACTGAAGACTAAGGGTGACGATTGCTATGTTATTGTTGTCCAGGTGAGCAGAGCTAAACAAATATAGACTGTTCTAACTGCAAAACTATTTCTGTTTAGTTAACCCAGTAATAAATGACACAACTAATAACTCGACGTGCAAAAATAATAATTAAAAAAAAAGCCTTTTACAACAATTTACTAGTAAACGGTTTTATTTTACCGTGTAGATGAAAGTCCATGCATATATCAGTTCTAAAATATTAATTTTTGAAGATATCTTATATTCATGCAAGGTTTCTGGACTTACTTAGAAATACCATAATATCGTTAACTGCAGTTGACATGAGGATGTAGTAACCAATTGCTGATAAAGTGCCTGCAAACAGCATTTGTCGATCTGTCATACATTTCCGTAGAAGACGAATAAATCCTAAGCCAATGATCAATTCTGACACCGATCTTGCAGCTCCAAACCAACCAATCAAAACAGAGCTCCAACAGAATGGAGAATTAAGTAAGTAAAATATCTGAACGTTATTTCTTCCAATAGTTGGCATCACAGATAGTGCAAAAGAAGCAGCAAGTATAATATATTTCCAACGGGAAGGACCTTTTTGAATGTAAAAGCTAATAGAATTTTTAACATATTGAATTTGTGAGATACTTTGAAAATTTTTCTTAGACTGAACGGTTTCTGGTAAGAAGATAATCAATAACAAGACCAGAATAGCAACGGATAAACATGTAACTACAGAGTATACAAATCCTGTGTATTTAATTAAGTATCCTGAAGTTATGTTAGCTGTTGTCACGCCTAAGCCAAGGGTAATTTCAACCAGAACAATACCAAATGTTCTAGTTTTGCCATATTTCGTCAAATCTGCGGTGATCGAAAGAGCAGCCGAGATAAAAGCAACAAGAGTACCGGATATACCGTCTACAAAAAACGGGATCAATAAATAATAAATGTTCCATTCTAACTTTACTGCAATAGCCAGAAAGGAACATTTGAAAATTTGTCCTAGAGTTGGAATAATAAGTGCAACTCTACGTCCAATTTTATCACTCCACGAACCAACTAAGATGGTCATGATCAGGGCTGGCAAGGCGCTTGCTATGTGACCATAGGCATTCCACTGTGCTGTCACTCTCTGTATTTCCTGTTGAAGGAGAAATTGACTTGTTGATTTATTAGCTGTACATGATGCATGACGGGATACTGAGCCCGTAACGTTTCTTTCTCTCTCAACGGCATAGTAAGCGTATTGAGTTTCCACTATGACAGTACATACATATGAATACACGAATAACACAATCAAAATGTACAGTAAATAGTGCCGACGTGTCATTTTTGACTGAGGAAGAGATTTATTTTTTTCTTCATTTGATGTCATGTTGATATACCAGTACGCCCTGAAAAAAGAATGAGAAAACAGTTCTCCAAGAGGTATGGTCGATTTTCTATAAGTTCCAATTAAAGAACACGTCTTTTGGAAGCAAAGCTATGTATTATCCTTCAGATACAAATTAATAGTACTTCATATTAATTTAGTTCTGGGTGTCGTTCAGTATTGCTATATTGTATTAAAATTGTCCTTATCAATAATGTATCATCATTTTGATTATTGAGATATAGAAGAAATATCTTGTAAATATCATCAACATTCCCATTTGTACCCAACCCCGGGATTACCAAGGGATATAGAAATTGCCTCCCCCACGCGTTTCTCTGTTTGATGTGTACGAGTTCCCGCATATTCGGCGCCCGGTTGCAAGGCTAAATTTCTACCCTATCCAACATGAGGTCATGCACAGACGGAAAACTTAACAGCATGTATATATTGCGTCCATGGTGAGCCATATTTATACATGTTCTCACTAAAGAGGGAACGAAAAATAAAAATCGGGCTACCAGGGGGTACCTAGCCGAAAATTAAGTGTCTTTATATCTAACTTGATACTAAATGCATTGGCCCATGCGCGAAGCGTTGGAGGTCTGGGGATCTTCCCTGAAAATACTTTTAATGTGTTACTGTGCAAAACTGCAATGATGCCCTTGCAGATGTCGGAAGGTTAAAGAACTTATCTTGATATCTATATCTTTAACGGGAAGCTTAATACCAAAATTTATGATAAAAGAGATGATTTTTCATTTCCCATTGTTAATTATCCATTTTTAGATGGTGACGTTCCCTTGTCACCATCTTATGGTGTTTATATATATCTCAACTTGTTCGATTCGCTCGTGTATGTAACAACGTATTTGATTTTAACGAAAGAAATCTCTGGATTACTGAAAAATAATAACACCAGGGTTTTCGATATTACAAACTAGTCAAAACATTTACTAAATTTGTATCATCGGTACAAGGACATCATTCGTAAATATAAATCTTCATGCAGACATCTTATACGTTCAGACATTTCACATCCAATCTTTTATGGTAATATTCTATACAAAGCACAAAAATGTCGGCATTTACCTCAAAAGCTAACCAAACCTTTAAACAGACTTATTCAGAAGGGATATAGTTACGATATTGTTGTCAGGTCATTAAAGATATCATATTTTGGTATCAATATTGATTCACTCATAGGGTCTTTGCATCGGAAATAAACACATTTATTCTAAAACCAGTTGTTGGCATGATACGGGTTATGTTCTTCTCATATATTTTATGATGGTATGATACTAAACCCCTAACGGGATGGATTGTGCTGGATTTTCATATGATGAAGACATAATCTTTCAATCAGTTTAATTGAGGTCTAGAGCTGGCATGCATGTCCGCAGTAACTGCTAGTAGTACTTTGTTAATTTATGTTTATTATTGTCTTTTTGCTTAGTTTCTTCTGTTATCTGACATCGGACTTGGACTACTTTTAAACTGAGTTTTACTGTGCGTATTGCTGTGTGTTTGTTTATTCTACATTGGCTAGAGGTATAGGGGAGGGTTGAGATCTCACAAAACATGTTTAACCCCGCCGCATTTTCGCGCCTGTCCCAAGTCAGGAGCCTCTGGCCTTTGTTAGTCTTGTATGTTTTTTAATTTTAGTTCATTCATATGTTTTGGAGTCTCCAAACATATAATCCACTTATTCGGGAACAATTCGTTCGAAAACTTTGTATGGAAAGGCCACCAGTAGTGGATTGAATTTCAATCATGTTAAAATATTGTTCCAAAGAGCTCAGTGTGTGTTGAGTGGATGGCATTACGTGCATATTTTGTGACATTAATTCAACTGGGAAACCACGAGCTACCATTCAAAAGAATATAATTAATCGTCATAGTAAATTCAATTAAATTTGTATAATCATTTTAATAAACGTATCAATGGAACGGTGTCTATATAAGATCATATTAGTATAGAATAAACCATTTCATTATTCCCATATGCGCGCAATATCTCTTAGTAAAAATGACGTTTTTTATATAAGTGTGTGGTATATGATGTATTATAGATTATTTGTTAACGGTTAAGTCACAATACACCTTATCGCTATTTGTCCGCCATTACTGGACATCACAAAGGTTCACGTAAAAGTTTGACGTCACAATAGAAAATATCTGACGCCACAATGGAAAAGTGATTGTATGACGTCAAAAGTTCAAGCGGCGCAGATTCTCGGGTCACACCGGCGCAGATTTCCAAATAGCGATAAGGTGTATGAAGAACATATAAAAATTGTGTTTTCTTAATATCTGGTAGATATATCTTAATTCTAATGTGATTTTTTTGATTTTTGTTAGAAACTGATCATAATGTTAAACTTGTGACCATTTTGACAGACGTATTACTTAACACCGACCCCCCTCCCCAATATATTTTTTCTTATACCAGTAATTTATTAAATTGGATTGAATATTGACCTTGCATGTATCTTCTCCTTGAAACATCTTTCACAATCTGATTGCAATACTTTTTCTTTCACGATCGTTTGTCTGATATATGTCAGGAATCTGATGTTCAGTAGTTGTCGTTTGTTGATGTGGTTCATAAGTGTTTCTCGTTTCTCGTTTTTTATATAGATTAGACCGTTGGTTTTCCCGTTTGAATGGTTTTACACTAGTAATTTTTTGGGGCCCTTTATAGCTTACTGTTCGGTGTGACCTATAATTGTTTACTTTTATAAATTTTGACTTGGATGGAGAGTTGTCTCATTGGCACTCATACCACATCTTCTTATATCTATATACCAAGAGAAGGTTGTGGTAAAGGGAACATCAACCAAACAAGCAAGCAATTAATCAATTTGGACTTGTCACTTTAAATAATCCATTTACACGACATTATATATAGCAAAGTTGATACAAAATAAATAATTAAAATGCATTCATATACATACCAATATTTTGGATGAGCAAGATCACTGTAATCTAAGGTTACAAGTATAATTTCATCGCCGATTAAAACCGTGCACACTTAGAGAGTCAAATATGTTGTACTTATCAATATAGTATAACAGTTATCATTCACCTTATGACACGGCAATTTTCATTGAGAAAGAAGTAAAAGGTTGCACTATGACTATATCCAGCGTAGCGTATATATCCCAGTAGCGGGGAAAGAGACAACTCACTAAAATAAGATGAATTGTTTTAAGCAAGAACTTTAAGGGCATACGATACAGAAAAGATCTCTCGTTGTTTAATTCTTAAAATTTTGACAGTGAGTCAATTTTGGTATGTACTATTTAAAATGCAAATAAAAATATACCACCATGACTAAATTTTTGAGATATTTCTGACGGAAATTTGCATTTTTTGTAAAATTTTGTAAAAACATGATCTCCGAAAAAATAACTATTTTCAAACGGAAAGAGATACTTCCACCCGGTTTTTTTCGCTAAGTGTTCCATAATTTCTAAGGCTTTCCCTCAAATAAAGGATGCATGCGATAAAATGTTTATGAAATCATACAATAATTGGTAATAAAAAGCCGACGACACCTTTCTTGCCAATTCAAATGGATATAGAAAATTCTATGAATTTGAAGGTTTGCTGAATCTGCATCTGATGAGATTGTGACATAGGCAATAGTGTCATCAGCAAACAGTCGTACAGTTGATTGAATCCCCTGGGGTATGTCGTTTATATAAAACACAAATAGACTAGGTCCTAGGACAGATCCTTGTGTGGTACACTGTACTCTACACTACAGGTATGGAAGTCGATGTTTCACTCTCCACCACTATATACTGACTGTGTTCTATCACTGAGGAAGTTCTTTATCCACTCATTTGTTTTACCTGTTATCCCATAATGATTCGGTTTGTGGATGAAAAGGCTATGACTAACCTTATCAAATGCCTTGGAGAAGTCCAATATGAGACAATCTGTTTGTTTTCCTTGATCTAAGTTGTTAGTTACGTCATCGATGAATTCAATTAGTTGTGATTCACATGATAGGCCCCTCTGAAACCCGTGTTGAGGTGGATACATGATGTTTTGTGTATCAGCATGAGACATAATATGACTAGTTACAATATGATCCAATAGTTTGCATGATATACAGGTGAGAGAAACTGGTCTATAATTAATTGGATCGTATTTCTTCCTTGGCACTTTCCCTGTAAGATATGAGCGGCGGAATATAGTTGTCAGGATTGGTGCTATATTTGATGCAAGTTCTTTAAGGACTCGTGGTGTTATATTGTTTGGTCCAGCTGCCTTGTTTGGATTTAGGTTTTTCAGAAGTTCGTTCACACTATTTTCTGTTATATTGATGTCGGAGATGTTTTGAAAGTTTCCGGACATGTTACACTGCTTTTGGAATTCTTGGTTTGATATGTCAGTTTTGTCTGAAAGGGCTTTCTGAAATTGTCCGTTGAGTATACCTGCTTTTTCTGTTGGCTCTGAGTGTAAAGTTCCATTTGATTTTAGGGGTTAGCAGTGTTTGGAACAGATACAGATGAGAAACTGGTTTCTTTAGAAGGGTAACTACTAGTATATTTTTTTTTAAGTTAAGTTATACCAATTATGTAATAATATAATAAGTACAATTAAGTACACATTGTTAATATTTTTTATTTATAATTTTAAAATATTATTCCTGCATCATACTCCTCATATCACATTTACTTCTAAAT